TATACATTTGCTTGTTTCAAATTTCTACTCTCTTTTTATTTCTTTATGTAGTACCTTTTTTATGGTGTTTGTGAAAATTTTTGCAAGCTTTTCAGTTTTGCATGTTTTTATTTTTATATCCCATGAATTACTCTTTATATAATGTTATAAAATTTATTTACTGAAAAAAAAAAGAGATTAAATTCTACAATTTTAATACTTGGCAAGAAATTTGCATACCTAGCTATAGGGACTTACCATTTCCCACAGAGATGGGGATAGAGGGCATTTTTTGCCCTTCACCAAAAATCTCCATGAGAATCCCCATGCTCACTATTGGCGGAGACGAGGATGGGGATGGGGCTCCACCCTTGCAAGGACCCATTGCCATCCCTACTTGCTGTCTTCATTATCAAAGTTTGTTCGTAACAACTGCAAGCCATTTTACCATCCATTCCCATATATTGTCTTTACAAACGATAATGTCTCGAGTAATAGTAATTTTCTTGAAAATAGGATTTCACAGTTTGTAATATTAGAACATTTACAAATAACAACAAAAACACAATTCTCATAATTATCATGTAAATTCCAGTTGTGGTCATGCTGGTTATGCACATGGGTATATGCTATACACCATAAAATTTTGAAATGGTCTATAGTTGGTCGTTTGCCACTATAAGCTTCTTTATGCATCATGTGTTGGACTTAAAATGTGGAATTTTTGTTCAGTATATGGATGCTTCAATTGACACAGTTTTGCTAAAATTCTTTGGGCATTCCACTTCTTGTGGTTGTGATGATGTGTGGTTCTTTCTCTCACTTATTCCATTATGTTGTGGAGTATTGGTTTTGTCACCTGCCTTTTGATATAGTTGGACTTCCCAAAGTATACAAATTCTCATGATTTGTAGTATCCATCATGGTTATCAATAGTAAAATTAAGGGCAAGAAACCGAAATTTAGTATGAACTTCCAAGAAATTTGTCAATCTCTAGATTTAAACAAACGATGCTATTTTATTAAAATGTATTATCCGTTTTACTTGCATCAATCATGTTGTCGTATTGGCATACTCTTTTTTTTTTTTTTTTGATATTAGGTTTGTAATGTACCTAGGGTAACTTTTACATATCTTAAAAGTTATTTATTAATATTTCTTTAGATGATTTTGTTGGTGAACACCTTGCATCGCATGGGGTTGACGCCAAAGCTTTGAATTTTAAATCTGGTTTATAAGAGTGGATCCACATCTTGAGCTTTATAGGCATGGATGTCAATTTTGTTAATATTGTTTCTTTTTCAAAATAACAATTCGTTTTTTTACTCAAAATTTAAGTTATGTTTAGAATTGTTGTGGAATTTTGTGATTGTGGCTTTTTTCAATATTCTACTAAAAAAAATTATATTATTATTTGATAATTATTTTAAAAAGGGTTTTACACATTAATATGACCACTAAATTTACAAAATCTCAATAAAAATTTATTTAATTATAATAAATTAATACTTTTATAAGGTAAAATGCTATGAAAAAGCAACTCAAATGTAACCTTAGTACTCTCTCCATTCCAAAACAATTGTCATTCTTTAATTTTGAGTTTGTCTCAAATTAATTATCATTTTTTCTCCTTTTTTTTTAAAGTTATACAGATATTTTCTCCTAATTTAACCCTATCATTATCTATTTATTTTGATTAATTAACCTATCACAAAAAGCTTTTTTTATCTTCTGGGTTTTACTGAAGGATAATGTAAGTAGATATATAAATAGTTCCTAAATCCTTAATTTGAAAAAAAAAATGATAGTTATTATGGCATAGAAAGAATAGTTTATAGATACTTTTGCCTATGATCTAGTGCCTAGGTTTGGAGCACCATCACAGCAATGTAATTAATCCTAGTCAATAGCCATATAAGAGCATGTACAATGGGAATAATGAAAAAATTTATTTTGGTTCTACATCATCATATTTAATATTATTTTATTTAAACCACATTTTATGTATTCAAACAAAAATATTTAATTGAAATGTTTTTAAAAAGAAAGATAACAACCTTTAATTAGACCTAGCAAACATGTTAGATTGCATGAGGTTGAATTGGGTCACTTTGGATTTTGAATTTTTTGGATTAGATCATTTCAGATTTGGGCTAAAGGGTAAATCCATAATCTACCCATACAAGTCTTGAATTGGGTTAGATGGACCAAATTTTTTAAAAAATTAAAATTAAAATTTCTTAATATTTTTTTATTTTTCTTTAAGAAAATTTAATATTAATTAATTAGTTAGTAAAAAAAATTTATTAATTAATATTAGTTGGGTCACTTCGGGTTGATCTAATATGACCTTGACCCAATCTTACTAAGTTCAAAAACTTTAATCTAATCCATATTACATTCTAAATTAATTTTTTAGATTTATAACTCTACCTGTAATGAATAAATTGAGTTAGATTTTGAATTAGATTCAATTTTATATCTACCTTTAATCCAACAGCTTATAATGCTATTGGATCTAAAAAGCTAGCACCTGACATTGCAAAATTTTTTGCCTTTAAAGGGGGCAAAAATGTCATCATCTTTACCATTTTAAGAAATAATAATAATAACAATAACAATAACAATAACAATAATAATAATAATAATAATAATAATAATAATAATAAAAATAAAGATAAATTGCAAGTTCTATTTGAGAACTCTCACACCCAGTAAAATAGAATTCTGCCCTTGTTTTCTTTTGACCAAAGAACAATAGAAATGAACATCATTATACATGCTTTAAAGGAAAATCTCCCTTTCTAACAAAGCCTCACCTCCAATGAAATCTTTCATCTTATTTTATAACAATAGGAATATTGATTAATAGAAGAAATTCTTGCAGCATATAAGAAGTCCAATAAAAAGAATAAAACAATAAGAGATAATTTATTTGAATTTAAAAATAGATCACTCATTCTAAAATTTATACTTTCACTCCTATTTCAAACAAAAAATCGCTTTCCCACAAAGGACAATCTCATCCAACGTGGTATTAACTTAGCATCTAGATCTTGTTGTGTGCTATGTAATGGTTATTTAGAGGATGCAAATCATATTTTTGCCACATGCATTTACTCCCAAAGCATTTGGAGCCGCATATGTTGTTGGTGGGGTTTTTCTCTTATTTTTCCTGACAAGGCCCTCGATCTGCTTACTCAGTTTTGCTCACTGCCAGTCCCTCAAGATGTTAAAAATTGTTGGGTCCTCTCCATATTTACTACTGCTTGGGTCATCTGGTATTTTAGAAATAGAATTGCTTTCAATAAACTTGAATGGGATGAGGACAATTTAATCGAGCTAGTGAAAACCAAAACATTTGCTTGGATAAAAGGTAAATTGAAACCTGCTGCTTTTTGTTTTAGTGACTGGTGTCAATTCCAAAAATTATGTACTACTCATTCTTAATATGACACAGCACTCATCCTAGTATAATGGGCGAGTACCCCTTGTACTCATAGTTTATAATACATTTTTATTCATAAAAAAAAAATTTCAAACAACAAATCAAATTTAATGATTTACTAAAACATTAGCCAATGCAATCATATCAGCACTAATGCACCAGATCCTATCAAGAATTCGGCAATTAAACATGTTTGGATGAGAGTTTAGGATGGGTAACCTCTTGGAAAGTCCTCATGTTGCACCCCTTGCCCATGTTGTCCTTAGGAGATTAAAAGTTAAAGGCTCCATATTGGAGATCTTAAATTTAAATTTTGATACAAGTGAAGTAGTTTCGAAAAGAGAGAGCTATTTTTCTTACATAACACATCATCTAACGTAAATAAAAATAAAAAACATTAGACAAATTTAAATTGCCATCCACAAAGAATGACTTATGTGTACAAAAACTAATGCTCTAAGGTAATTTTATTTTTATAGGAAATAAAGACTATATTAAATAAAAACTTTTAACCATATTTTAGTGTTGTATTGAAAATAGATTTGTTACTAATAAAACTTAAGCTGAATTATTAATCTATAACTTAAAATCCTTAATTTTGAATAACAAGTTGACTTCCACTACACAATATATTACACATACAAAAACTAAAATGTATGTCACATTTTGGGGTTGTTTTGAACATATACTAACTTGGGACCATAAAATTTCATTAATTACGGTTTATCACTGATATTCCCAAAGGCTAAAGGTTTTCTCGCATGAATATTGTAGCACAGCCTACCATACTCGAGCATTCCCAAAACTGAGCGCAAGGCAGTAAAAATGTCAATAAAACCTTAAATTCAATTTGAAGCAATATGGCTCCACCAAAAAGGAGGAATTCTCTAGGTATTCTAAATTAGAGACATCTCATTGAGATTAGTTCACAATAACGTGTCAAAGACAAAAATGGATGTTTAAATCTGCTTCAACTTTGATTAAGTAAAATACAATTATTTAGAGTAATGAACCGGATAAGTATAGGAAGAAAACATAGACAACCACTGAAGACTTGGAAGTCTTACACCTGCCTCTCGAAGAGAGAGACAAAACACCACAGACTACTTCAACTCTTATGCCTATAAATACACATGTTTCTTTGAGGGGTTTCTCATCCCTCACAAAGAAACTTCGAAGAATTTAAGGTACGTAGCAGCAGCTTTAGAACAATGAAGAGTGCTTATTTCCCTGTAGCTTTTGTCCTCTTGGCTTTTGCTTCCTCCTTTGCCTCCGCATATGACCCTAGCCCTCTACAAGATTTCTGTGTAGCCATCAATGACACCAAGACTGGTGGTATGTCTTCCTTTTCTGACATTGCATTTTCTAGAAACATCATTTAAAAGTGTACCATATAGTTTTTGGTTTGCATTTACATTATATTTTTGTTGGCATTCTTTCCAATAACACGTCTTTGGTACAGTGTTTGTGAATGGGAAGTTTTGCAAGGACCCAAAGCTTGTTGTAGCAAGCGACTTCTTCCGTTCAGGGTTTGACAAGCCAAGAAACACATCCAATGCGGTTGGATCTGCTGTCACTCAGGCATTTGTTGAACAATTTCCAGGCCTTAACAATCTTGGTGTATCCCTAGTTCGTATTGATTTTGCACCTAATTAATGGTGGTCTTAATCCTCCCCACACTCATCCTCGTGGAACTGAGATTCTAGTAGTCCAAGAAGGCACCCTATTTGTCGGCTTCGTCTCATCTAATCAGGATGGTAACCATCTCTTCACCAAAGTGCTGAACAAGGGAGATGTATTTGTTTTCCCTATTGGTTTGATTCACTTCCAGCTCAATATAGGGGAAACTCCTGCTGTTGCCTTTTCTGGTTTGAGTAGCCAGAATCCAGGCACAATCATAATTGCAAATTCTGTTTTCAAATCAAATCCACCCATTAATCCTGATGTTCTTACCAAGGCTTTCATGCTGGACAAGAATGTCATCAAGTATCTCCAGTCTCACCTCTAAAGGATATATATTTTAAAAAAAAAAAAAGAAGAAGTTAGAGAAGACTTGAACAAGGCATGTTTCAACTCTTGCTTGTCTGGATTGTGTTTGAGTGCCATATCTCTATTTGATTATTGGTTCCATATAATACCTCATCTACTACATAATAAGAGGTTGTAATAAGATGTTGCTTATAGCTCAATACATATAATAAAGAAGTTTGCCTATTGCTTATTAAATATTAGCATTGTCTGCTCACCAAAAAGAATTGTTTTCCATGCTAGGAATACTGCATTACAACGTAGGCTTAAATTAATTCCCATTGAAAACCCCTTTCTTTAATCATAATTGACACTATTTAAATGCTTAGACTTAGTTTTGTATGTTTGTGATTGTAGGTTTTTTGTTCTAGTTTTTATAAATTTTGTAATTCTAAATAAAAAACTCACATATTTTCATGTGTTTTACAACATAATATTAAGATTATCAGGAAAATAAGAACTAAAATAAATTTAGTCTATTAAACACAAACATTTTTTTGTTCCTAGTGTTAAAATTTGTTTTAAATAATTTTTTAATTTTGATTCTTAATTTTGGTTTTCAATTCCAAAATTTATAAAAACCCAAACTAAAAACTTAAAACAACAACCATACTAAATAAAACCTTAAAAAAATCTAACTTTAACACCACTTTAAACCGATCTAAATATACCTAAAAAGGCCCAATTAAAAATATCTTGAGCCTCATTTAACTTTCACTACACTAAAAAAAAAAAAAAAACAAAAAAAGGAGAAAGAAGAAGCATAAAGTAAAATGTATGCCACATTTTGGTGTTACATTGAACACACATTAACTTGGGACCATAAATTTCATATTTTCAAATTCCAATTGTTTCACAGTAACCTTGTAACACACCACACCATACTTGAGCATTCCAAAGACTAAGAGCAACAGTGTAAATGTAAATATAACCTTAAACTCAATTTAAAGCAATATGGCTACACAAACTCAGTCAATGACTAAGATATCCTTAGGCAGACAATACAACAATATAAAAATAGACGTACTTAATTGTTGATTTATCTTTTCATCTACTTGAACATGATACAATTACTAACTTTGTTTTTCAGAAATGGAGTTATCGCTAACCATCAAACAGGTATAAGCAGCCTTGTTAACTCGAATCAAGTTTATGTGAACATTTGTGCATAAAATTAATGTTACTCTGTTTTCAACATTTTCACATGCACACAGAAAAAAGAGAAAGAGTTTAACATTCAGACTGACAGACACAAACACAGAAAAAAGACTGAGGCATCTAATTTCAAATCCTGAGAACAAATGCTCTCAGTAACAAGGTTCCAAGGACTGCTAATGTGAAGCCTTACTGAGTACCTAATGCAAGATCATGCCAAGTGTCTTCATCCACTTGTTGATTCTCTTGATCTGAAAATTAACAAAATTACAAATTAAATATGAAGAAGAAAAAGAATGACAACATAAATAAATGGAAAAAGTTGGGA